TAACTAAAAGAGGATCCTGAAAGAAGAACAAGACCCACAATGTCTTCTATATGTTAATCCAGCACTTAGGCCAGAATGCTTTGGTTTGAATCCTGGATACTTAGAGCAAGCTTGCAGAGTAATATTTATTTTGTTTCTCTCTTTTTCTTTCCCTGCTTCCCTCCCTTCATGTTTTCATCCAAATCTCCAGATTCTCCAATCCCTGACAGTCCTTTTTCCCAGCTTCCCTCTCTTTTCTCAACCTTTTTCCTGCCAGCCATTCCTTCCAGCTGTGCCTGCTGACTTTTTCTTGAATAATTCAGCCTTTCAAACAAGTGTTCGGCTTAGGAGAGAAGTGGAATCTCTGGCTCCTCTTGACAGTCTACAAGGAGACCTCTTGGCAGAGTTGGCATTACATAGCCGCATCTCCTCAGAGCCCCTGATTTGCTCTAAATGTAAAGCAGCAGTCGGGCTAAACAAGGCTTTCTGCAAACCACCCAATCATGTGAGTACTAATTTGACAGAGAGTCTTCTCTAGGAGAAGTAGAGGCACCTCTTTCCCATTTCCCATATTTTCTTTTTCACAGGGATATAGTGGCAGGCAACCAGACTAATAATTATCACCAACTTGTTTCTTAAAAAATTGTTAACAAAATATGTGTCTTTGTATTTCCTGGAATGACAAAATCCTTCTTACATAAGCATAAGGCTACAGTGACAGACACCTGGTGACCTTCTGGAGGTTGTACCCACAATGAAATGTGGAAGAAGTAAGCCTTAGGCTTGGGTATCTCTGCTTAGAGAAAACCTTGAATGTGAGCCAGCCTTAGGCAAGGATATGAATAGATCCTACTAATACAATTCATTCACTGACATAATTATAATAAACTGGTTGAATCACACATGTGAGGTATGCTTGCAATCATATATTTTACATTTGATTCTTTATTTATATAATGTAGGTCCTACTTTCTAATGCATGCATATCACTCAGAGCAGCTAACAATTAAAACAAATTTAAAAAATAAAATTATTGAAAACAAAAACAATTTAAAAAAAAATCTAGTAAAAGTAGGCAAATATAGCAGATTACATATTATACCCAATAAGATTCCCTGTAGACAAATGCTGTCTTCAATAAGAAATGTTAACCAATCAGTGGGGACTTCCAAGGAAGCAATGGTGGACTGAAGACAGCCGCAGCAGAAAGAGGAGCCAGTGAATGGACTGGCTCCTCAACCCCTCTCTGGATTAAGGAGAGGACTAGGATCACCCATAAGTTTGCTTCATACAGAGGCTCTCCACGAAGAATAGTGATCTCCAGTGGGTTTGAGAGCTCTGAGAGCCAGGGGAAAATCATCTTGCCTAAACCACAGTTCGCCACCTTCAAAAGGACATTGGGTTCACCCACTTCCTCTCTTAATTACTTTAAGAGATTGCCTGTTATTGATCTTTTGGATATTAAGAATCTTCTGAAGGGCAAGTTTCATTATGTCAGGAGAGCTTCCTTCTATCCTAGATGAATGAATTTTCATGTCTGTAAGTTTAAGGACTAAAAAGAAAATTTTATTTTTTGGAGAACAAAAGAGGGACTAGAATGTTGATTTTGGAAAGTTAGGGGGTCAGATGGACTTGAAAGAATATTTCCCATGGGTTGTTTAAAATTTTATAAAAGTATACATGAAGATTTTGAAATTAACTGCAAGAAATCCTTTTTGCTGATTGGAAAATAAACATATGATAAGAGGGGACTTTGAAGTTGACCAGAGGGAACCAGAGAGAACTAAGGATTACAATTAAAGGAGAAGAGACTTATTAATACAATGGAGCAATATTATCTGACTATAGAAGAAATTAAGGCTGTCTGGGAACGATGTACTCAGAAATTACTTTCAAGACTGTCTGCCACTATAAAAATGGATCTAACAGAGGCTACAGAAGAGGAACAGATTTTACTCGACAAAACAGAGACTGAGGCTGACTTGAATGTGGATTTGAAAATGGATTTAAAAATGACAGACTATAAGAGTGATATGAAAAAAGATGCCACAATAGGTTTACAAATGAAACTGGCTGATCTTTTAATAACTAAAGGGGACATACAAATAATAAATCAGAAGAGTGACTTGGATAACCTTATCTTGGATTTACAAAAGGGATGTTTTAAATTACTGAAGCTGTTCTTCAGAGGAGACAAAGAGAAAATGATAAGAAATAAACTTGTGGAATATTATTTGAAGGGATTAAAGATCAAGCTTTTTAAAAGTAAATAAATACAAAGTTAATTTATTTGACCAGGGTTAAAATATAGATGTTGTGGTTTCTGGTAGCTCTTAATGGATTTTTTTTTTTTTTTTTTGACCAGGCTTACAAGGCTTTAAAGATTTCTTTATAAATGGGGAGAAATTTCTTTTGCTTTATTCCTCAGAGAAATGGATAAATTGGAATACAAAATGAATTTATTTGATTAAGGTTAAATATATATATGTTATTTCTGGTAGTTCTTAATGGACTTTTGCTGAATAGGACTGAATTATGAGCTTTTACAATTTGTTTATTGATAAGACATGAGATATGGGAAGAAGAGATTTTTTTTTATTGAAACACTAGAGAAGGTGTTGTTACTGAAGTTGTTTATACTTGTCTGGAGGGAGGGGGGAGTCTTTTTTTATATATCTCTTTTTCTTTTTTCTTCCTTTTCCCTCTCTCTTTCACTTTTTATTTTCTTCACATTTTATATTTTTCTTAGTTTGTATTAGTCTTTTATCTTTGTATATGTAAACTTTAAAAAACTATTACTAAAAAAAAAGTTTTAACCAATTAGTGAAAGACCATTAGGACAGCCAACTGGCTTCCTAAGACAGTAAGTTCTACAGTTTAGCTGAGACCACTGGCAAAGCTCTTCTCTTGTGCCCACTAACTTTGTCTCTGCAATAGTCTGGGACACAGAGAAGGGCTTCATCATACTTAAGGCCAGTATGGGAAGAAGCAGCCCCTAGGATATCTGAGACCTAAATCCTACAGGTCTTTAAACAATCTAACCAACCCTTTGAATTGTGCCCCAAAATAAATTAGTAACCAGGGCAACTTCTCCACAGCTGATGTGATGTGCCTTTAAGAAACCACCAGTATTCTTGCTGCTGTATTCTGGACCAGTTTCCATTAACTCTTCAAAAATATTCTCAAATGGAGCACAATGGAATAATTAACTCTCAGTGTACTATAACTAAAGTATGTGTCATGTGATCAGAACTGATCATATAACAGGTGTAATTGGCACATGGGTTTAAACTGGGCAAAAACGTTCCTGACTTTGGGTGTTGATGGAGATTATAAATCTAAAACCTGCTATTGCACTCTATTAGTTTCATTCTGACTGCATGCCATTGTATAGTGTGAAAATAAGGGCAGTCCACCTCTACGTTAGAGAAGCATGGGAGCAACGGTGAGAGAGGAGGGCCGCATTGATCTCTGATCTGTGGACTTCCTAGATGCATCCAAAGCACCACCAAGTGAGAGGAAATGCCGGTGGAGCCTAGGCCTGATCCAGCAGGGCTTTTCTCATGTGAACCAGGTTTAGGAGGGACATTCTGCACATGCTTAGAGTTTCTATTATTCCTTTCGATACCAAGCAATTGTTATAAGGGAGCAGCATTTCAAATTAGTCCTGTCTGAACTGGGAAAGTCTGTTCCTGCTGTAAGGAAGCCATCACATCCAGCCACTTAGCAGGATCTGTGGTAGGAAAGGCAACTGGGAATGGCTGGGGGCTTTCTCCGAGTTCTGCAGTCAAGACACGGGAGGCAAGCTGTCCCGCTCACCTCTGCTGTGAATGTGAAGGCTCCTCTGCTTTCCCGGTAACCAGGGAACCCTGAATCGAGCTCCTGAGAAGCAGGAGGAAGTGACGCCAAGGTGTTTCTGAATCTCATCAACTTCAGCGTCGGGGGGCGGGAGGAGCGTTGCTCTGCTGCCTTCTCGAGCGGGGGCATGGAGTGGCCGTGTGAAACCGCATGTAGAAAAGGAGGGGGCAGAAAGCGTCGAGTCGTCGAGTGGAGATCCAGCAAAATGCTCACCCGCGCTTCCCCGTTGGGAAATCTAAGGAAAGAATTTCCTTGAGACGCTCCTCCCCTCGACTGATCCGACCGAAAAGCCCGTCCTCTCTGTCCCACAGCCCCTTCAAAGTCTGAGGCGGTGCCGTGTTTCCTTTCACCGCTGAGGGTCGGAGAGGAAAGACGTCCTCGGAATGACACAAACTGCTTCTTTAACCAGCTTCCTTGTTGTCGCTGAAGGAGATCCAGTTGTTAGGGGACGGCGGACTGTGAAAGAAAAACTTACCAGACCCAGCCAGCGCCGCCCGGATGTTTTGGACTTCTGCTACCATCCGTCACGCGTTGCCTGGAAGCAATGGGGTGGTAGCCCAGCGCACCTGGAAGCCACCGAGTTAGCGAGGCCACTCTGTCTTTTTTATTCCGACAAACACTCTTGTTTACCCCTCTATTTGTCCTCCCAGAGGGAGACCTAAGCAGGAGACGGTGTCGCTCCCTCTCCCTCCCCTCTCTTCAGGCTTGTTTTCCCCCTGTGTGTTGTGGCAGATATTTATTGCTTCACCTGTCAACTGGCCGGGCTGGCATTTATACGCGCACATGCCTGCGGGGTGTTTTCACCAGCCGAAGTGCTTCACGGGGCCGGGGGCGGGGGGCGGGGGGAGACTGAGCGAGAGAGAGGAATATCAATTCAGCAAAGCGCTCGTTCAATTGAGCGGCTTTTCGGGAACTGTCCGAGGTCCTGAACCTCTGAAAGGCGGCAAGTGACTCTGCCTTCGTAAAGGGCCGTCTCCCCAGAGCCTTCAGTTTGCCACGTTTCCAGCCAGTCTTTTCTCTTTCGGGCAGCAAGAGTACGGGAAAGGACTCGAGGGGACCCCGAGAAGTTTGGTAATTGGGGAAAAAAAGCAGGGGTTTTGAGCGGGAATTGCTGGGGAATAAGTCAATCGCGAGTGTGCAAGTGACAGTGCAAACGCATGCGCATGGCTGGCGAGCTGCCGTCCCTGGCTAAAAAGCCTGCTACCAGCGGATGTGAGCAATGCAAGGATTTCCACCTGGCTCCCGAGATCGAAGGGGAAACTGTAAGTACTTCAAGCACCACCCCAAAACAGGTTGCGGAAACCTGTCGGAATGGCATTCACTCCTTTGCTCTTGGCGTGTCCATATATATGCTGGGACACAGTGCTTAAGGATGAACCCGAGCTTTCCGTTTAGGAATACCGAGGCTTCCAGTCCTAGACTCAGATGCCACAGGTCTTTACGAGCCTCAAAAACAGACCCACTGGACACGAGAAGCCTCGCGGGAAGAAGGAACAGCATGTTAATTCATAAGGTCTCTCTCCTTGGTGGGGTGGGAAAGGTCGGAGGAGTAGTTTTGTTAGGTTGACGTTTGCGATTGCCCTGGTTTTCTTAGGAAACTTGAAGGGGGCAAGGTGGGAGAGGGGAGTTTAACAGATGGCATTGACAACTCAGAGAGGACGTTAATCTGGAAAGAATGCCAGGCAAGGTCCGCATCAAGATGTTTCATGCAGTTTGGAATTGAGGAAGAGCGAGCATGGATTGGAAAAGAACTGTACAATACGAAACCGAAGAAACTGTATGTGTAGAAAAACCAAAGAAGGTTGGTGGGTGGACGAGAACGTTGAGCATGTCCTTGTCTTACAAGCCAAAGACACCTGCTGGAATAGATCCCCTCTAACAACAGCCTATCAGGGGAGATCCGCGTGCTCAGCCCTGTAAAAAAAAAATTTCAAAGCTAAGAGATGTCTTATTTTCTGCTCGTCAGTGAGCTCTATTCCCACCAACCTAGCTCATTCTCGATATTCAGTACATTACTTTGCTTTTCATTGATGGAGATGGCAGCAATCCTTGTTTTATACGGAGCACATGATTTCCTTTTTAAAGTTAAGAGGCAAAAACAGGAAACAAACGGAGAGTAACACACGCCTTCAGTCAGCCAAGTCTTTCACAGTGTAACGCCAGAGGGCGCAGTTGGGAACTGGCGAAGATAGCTGGCTGCAAATGATTCCAAAAGTTAGCAAGCGATCTGTTGTGTAACCGTACTTTGCTTACCTAAACGTGATTGAGAGAGAAAAAAATAATTTTGGAACTAGCTTCAGCAAAGGATAAGGAAAAAATAAAACTATAAATATTTTTTTCAGGTAAATAGGATGGACCCATCAATTTATGCATAACTTCGCCAAAACTGAAGGATGGAATGGGATGGCTTGATCTCACAAATTCCAGAATTTAGGGTCCACCATCCAGGAGCCTTTCTCCTTGCTCAGAATTAACACACTTCCCCTGCCTGTTTTGCAAGCTGGATGAGGATGATAGTTGTTGTGGGCAAACACATTTGGAAGAAAAAGTTCTGTGGAATGGAACATGAAGTAACAAGTCTTGAATAAATAAGTGATAGTAATGTCTGGAAGAAATTACAGTTCAAAAAGATTCATTTTTAAACATCTCATAAAGGCTTAGAAGGTTTTGGACTGTTTATAGTGACTGGATATTTCTAATGTTCAGTGCTGGTGCTATTTTAAATGGTTTATGTAGCTATTTGCCTGAGAGAGAAGGGCTAGATGTTTGGGGAAATTATTTTCTAAACTATCTTGAAGGTCTTTTGTCCCAAAAGGGAAAATAAACGTGTTTTTTTTAAATAAGGACTCCCAGAAATACTTAAACCTGGACCAGTGTGTGCTTTAGAAAGTTGCATTATGCTTGCTTATAATACACAAACACACTCATGGTTAGATTAGCTATTATTATTATGGTTGGTCGCACAGTCAGCCAGATGTTTAGACTGGATTTGGCATTTTTATCCACCTGCTGAGTCCTTCCCAAGGACCTGGGATAGGCAGGTGTTCTTGTTTGGTGGTGTTAAAGGTATCGGCGCAGGACATAAACTGTTCCAAGTAAAGCTGCCTGTTGCATTTGACTGATGGTGATTTTGTCAATGCTGATGGTCTTCAAGTGGTGCTCCAGGTGTTTTGGGACTGCACCCAAGGTGCCTATAACTATTGGTACTATCTTTGCTTTCCTTTGCCACAGTTGTTCTACTTCTATTTGCAGGTGTTTATATTTTGTGATTTTCTCCAGTACTTTCTCTTCTATTCTGCTGTCTCCAGGTATTGCACTGC